GACTTCCCCAATCATCGATTGTATCCGGTTTCAAATATTATCTAGTCATTATTGATGATTGCTCGCATTTTGTTTGGACTTTCCCTCTTAAACTAAAGTCGACACCTTTAATGCTCTCTCCAATTTTTTTCGCCTATCGCTCCTCGGTTTGGTTGCACCATCAAGACCGTGCGATGTGACAACGGACGTGAGTTTGACAACTCCGCGTCGCACGCTTTCTTTTCTGCCAAAGGTGTCACCCTTCGCATGTCATGCCCCTACACCTTGCAGCAAAATGGCAAAGCCGAGCGCATGCTTCGCACCGTCAATAATGTCACCCTTGCCTTGCTCTTCCAAGCATCCATGCCCCCCCTCTTCTTGGGCTGATGCCCTCGCCACCGCCACTCTCCTCATCAATCGCCTCCCAACCAAGACCACGAACATGAGCACTCCCTTCTTTGCCCTCCATGGCACTCTCCCTCCTACCACGATCTTGAGCTTTGTGCACCTGCTACCCCAACCTCACCGCCATCACTCCTCACAAGCTCGCTCCATGATCTTCCTTGTGCGTCTTTCTTGGCTATTCTCCTGACCACAAGGGTATAGGTGCCTTGACCTCGCCACAAACCTCGTCATCATCTCACGCCACGTTGTCTTCGACGAGACAACGTTCCCTTTTTCCCTCCGTCGACCTTCGCCACCCACACACGAGCTTGATTTTCTAACTAACGATGATTAAATCGTCGGTTATACTTCCACTACTTGGTACACCGTGGTGCTCTGCTGCCCCTCTGCCCACCGTGTGCTCTCCCAGTAGGTGCCCACCTTGGGAGCACCGGCCCTTCAACACACCCCCGCCAGCTTCATGCCCCGATACCGGCTCCTCTCCACTCCTTTGTCTGAGGCGCCCATGGCGCCCTCGACAGACGCGCCCACTTCGTCGGCGCCATGGCGCCCTGCAGAGCGCCCGGTGCCCCGGCACCCTACTGCTCTGGTGCCCATGGGTCCTTCATGCAGTACCCATGGTGTCACCCCAGCGTCCTCCTTCAACAAACCTCCGGTCATTCATGTCTACACCCGGCGTCCACCGCTCCCGGCTTCGCCACTGCGTCCCTGTTGGACCATCTCCTCGGCGTTCAACATGATTCCTTCACACCGCCAGCGTTTGGAGTCAAGGTGACCTCTCTCTCTCCCATGAGCTGTCCCCATCCCGCGATCGCCAACACTCATGGCATGGCGACCACCGAGAAGTCCGGTTATCGACAACAAGCCGCGCCTCGCTGGCTACTGCTGAGGCTCTGTCACCTCTCTACCGCGCTCTGTCGTGACGCCCTTGCCGACCCACACTAGCGTCGGGCCATGGAAGAGGAGTATGCTGCCCTACAGGACAACAACACTTGGGATCTCGTTCCCCGTCCTGCCAAGGCAAACGTGGTCACCGCAAATGGATCTTCAAGCATAAGTTTCATGCCGATGGTTCCATTTACAAGGCTTCATTGGGTGCTTCGCGGGTTCACCCAACGTCCGGCGTTGATTACGACGATATTTAGCCCGTCGTCAAAGCACTGCTACCGTCCGCTATGTCCTCACCTTGGCTCACTCCCGGGATTGGCGATCCATCAACTTGATATGAAAACGCCTTCCTCCACGGGACCTTGTCGAAAGCTGTCTCTATTCTGAACAACCCAACTGTTTTGGTGATCCCGCACTTCTGGTCATGTATGCAAGCTCAGCAGATCCCTCTATGGACTAAAACAGGCTTCCACGGGCATGGTACGGCCCGTTTGCCTCCTTCACCTTTCTTTGGGTTTCAATGAAGCAAAGTCCGATACATCCCTCTTCATACTTCATCGTGGCACCGAGACAGGTCTACTTGTTTCTCTATGTCGACGACATCGTCCTCACTGCCTCCTCCGAGCAGCTCCTGCATCGCCTGATTGCAGCACTCAAGAACGAGTTTGCCATGAAGGACCTTGGCCCCCTTCATCTTTTCCTCGGTGTGGCCGTTCAGGCGCCACAAGGATCACCTCACTCTTCTGTCGGTACATCCTGGACATTCTTGCTCGCCATGGGATGAGCGATTCTCCAGTACATGTGCCAAAGTTCCTATAGATGTCGGTCCTCCTGTTGCTGATCCCACCTCACATGACCTTTGCAGTGCACTCCAAGACTGACTTTTACTCGACCCGACATTGCGTATCTTGTCAGCCAAAGAATCTGCCTTCACATGCATGATCCCCGGAAGTTCACTTTGTGGGCGCCAAGCGGATCCTTCGGTACCTTCAGACCCTCGGCTTGATCGATTATTCCTCGGTCTACTCCAACGCAACTTGTTGTGTATCAGCGTGATGGATTGGGCGGGCTGCCACGACACTCGACGCTCCACCTCCGGCTATGCGCGGTCTTCCTCGGGGCGATCTCATCTCCAGGTCCTCCAAGCGGCAGTCTCGTCGATCGCTCTGAGTGTCGGAGTGCTACAAGCATCTGCAGCAACTTCTGAGGAGCTGCACCACCCTTTACTGAGCCCTCGTCTCTCGCGACAACGCGTCGAGCGCCGTCTACCTCTCCTCCAACCCCATTCACATCGGCGCGCCAAGCGCACGTGGAAATCGACCTCCCTTCGTCCGAGAACGTGTTGCTATTGGTGCTTTGTTAGGTGTGCTTCACGTTCCCACCACCTCACATTTGCGGATGTCTTCACCAAAGGGCTTCCGTCTTCTGTGTTCATGGACTTTCGCTCCAATCTGAACGTTCGCTCCATCGACGTTCTAACTGCGGGGGGGTGTTAGAATTATTTGCTCATTTACTGTAATCTCCTAGCTAACTGTGCAGGCGCCATCTATACTGGCCCTTTCACACTACTGGCCCCTTGGGCCATCCCCTCTCTCTCCTATATAAGTGTAATCCCTTCTGTAATCTATTATCAAGGAATATACAAAGCCTAATGGCCTTTGTCTAATAGATCTAACCAGCGATGCCCTCTGTTTTGAGCTGCTGCTGAAATTCCAGATCTCTTGGGAAATGGTATGATTCATGGTTGTAATTAAGACTTCCTTGTAAATGCTTATTCTGGTGGTTATTGTGAATGACTCCTAATGCATACGCAATTATTCAAACAGATCTACATTCTATTGGTGGGCCTCTACTTGGTTACTTGAAAAATTCAAATGCTGCATCCTAGCAAAGACGGCAGAAGTTGTGAGTACAATTGTGCAGAATAATCCCAAGAGTCAGCAACTAGGCATGGAATCCAATGGACTGGAGCAACTACTGACAAACTTCAAATTGCATGCAAGTACAAATGCACAGCCTTAGGAGCCATGTCTTGTAAGTATCACTCAGTATCATACGGAGTATAATCCTTTGCAGGAACTTTACAGTTAATTTGCACACAGTAGCTTCTGTTGCTCATGCGAACAAAAACTTTATACAATTGTTTTGCAGCTCTGATTCGCCATAAGCAGGCTGTATTTTCTACATTTCGCCTGGGAAATGGCTACACCTGGATTGAAGGATGTTCTTAGTTCCTACTTTCTATGATGCCAGGCTTAAGTGGTATGTCGTATGCGGTGCCGGTCCTAGGATGCTAAGGGCGCTCTGGCGATTTCGTCGCAACGGTCCCTTTTGATCATGTATAAAATTTTATAATATATAGGTACTAATTTTACTTGTAAAACGAAAGCAAACTCAAAAATATATTTTTAATTTAACATGTCTGATAATTATCGAGGAATAATGTAGATTAAGCAATATATTTGTAGATGTATGATAATTATCGAGGAACAATGTAGATTAAAAAAAATAATATATTCGTTTTCTTTTCTCACCCATGACAAATGTTTCTTAGGTAACATTCTACCATTCTAATACCTAAATTAGAAGAAAAATATGACTATATGGATACAAAGTACCAGAACTCTGGAATACTATACAAATAATCAATTTGGATTAAAAATAAAAAGGAAAAAATACCTTGGGTCTAAACAACTAATCGGTGATCGTAATTCGTAAGAAGCCAAGAATCAAGATATCGTCGTCGTGGAGCCCTACCTGGTCGCCGTCCTCGTGCGCCATGTCCGTGTCTTCGGTAGTCTAGCTTTTCGCGGCGGCGCAGCTCGCCAGCTCCGTGTGTGTAAGGCACATGTCGCGAACTCACGATCAGAGTGTGCTGTGTGCAGCGTGACTCCTCACCTCCTCTTTACCCGAGGGCCGTGAGGAAAGGAAACTAGGAAAGAAATACTGATGTTGTCTTTTTGGGCCGTCTGACCAGTTTTATGTCTCTCTTCTTATTAGTTTGCTAATGCCTAATGGACTATAGGATCTAGGAGTTTGTATACCTGGGCTTGGACCCCTCCTTTGCTTGGGCCCTCGGCCGTCGCATCTCGTGCCCTACCCCTAGGGCCGGCACTAGTCGTATGTTAACAGTACTCCCAGAATTATGTAAGACTGGTTTACAGCTGGGTTATTTATCTTAAACCTGGTGTCATAGACAGTAGATTTGGAGTAAATGGTGTGATATGTATGGGGCTCTGGGTACGAAAATTATTCCTAGAATCCTAATGGACCCTAAGAACAAACATCTGCATACCAACAAAATCATACTACCATTTCGGGATACTTCATGTGATATTGAAATTTCTGTGCTATAATGCTAGTGTTGGTTTGAAGGTCATTTTATTCAACTGTGCTGTAGTCTATTTTGCTGAACTTCAACCCAACTGTATTGGCTGAAACTCTTTGTTCAGGCAGAATTATTCAGCTGCAATGGGATTCACATAATTTTGTTGTATCGTTTCAGGAAAGCTCTGAATCTCATACCTGCTGCACAACACGGCAGGCAGGAGTATTGCTACATACTTTGATCTTCCAAAGTTGTTGATTGACCACACATCCAATGACGATTCCTTAGTGCACAGAGCTGCTCTAAGCGGTCTCCTTGAGTTGGCACAGGACAAAACATCTGGTAACGCTCTACCGGTCCAAGACATCCTCTAGAGTCTTGAGTAGAAGGGATCAGCGTGATGGACACTGACGATCTCCATGCTGCTCGCGGGGAGCTGCAGGTAGTCGACTCGCTCTGGAAGGAGTGCTACAAGCGTACAACGAGCCGTTATTCCTCAGGGAGAAGGGCATTACCGTGCTTGCTGCCTTCCTGGAGAGGACACGCCCCAGCAGATTACATCGGATGTCACCGGGAAGATGCTTGAGTGGCCGCTTCGAGCAGCTACAAGACCTGTTCAGAAAGATGATTATGATTCTTGCAGTGGGAAGAAGGGTCCACCATTTGCTGCTTGGCGCCGGACTGTCGTCGAACCCCAATTCGGATTCTTGCAGTGGGAAGAAGGCTGAAAGAGGCCTGATGGAAGTCTTGCTTTTGTCCCCTGCAAATTCGACGTCATCATGTACCCCATCTGTAGTGGTTTCCTGAATTCTGATGGTACGCTTGCATTCGGATTCATTGTGAGAGGATGATTGATGGTTGTCTCTGATTTTCTTATTTAACGCAAGTTGGGAATTCTCCTGCACAAATGTTTGATTCTTTATACATGATTGATTATCTGATCCCGCCATTAGCTTCACGGTGTGGACATTGAAGAGCCTGCGTCTGCTTGCACATGTATAGTTTAAATAACTACTGCCACCAGCAGAAGGCTGCCTCGTATGGAAATTTCCAAACTAGCTGCACTATTAAATTAAAGATCAGAAACATTCACAAAAGCTTAAGGTATAGCACCCACTTTGGCAGGGTTTTAATCGGGCTGTAGTGTCATGAGAAGCCGAAACCAGTGAAGCTGAAAAAAAAAGATTTTGATGACCATCCATACGACCCAAGTCATGTACACATTTGGTGGCCCAGCAGGCGGACAATACGGGCTTCTCCCAGCCCACTCGGCCACTTGGGCAGCTACGTGTCTCTCGCCTCTCGGGTCTCGGCCGCACCGCCGGTCGCCGTAGCCGACGGCCTGTGTACAATAGGTGACCCACTTAAATCTAGGGTAGCAGAAAACTTAAAATTAGTTTTAAACAGAGTATATATATAAGAGATCTATTTTTAGTTGTCAAAAAAGTACAATCTAAAATAAATATTTTTTTTTAAAAATTTATTTATAGAAAAAATTTTTTTTTAATCCTATTATTAGAAATGATGTCGAATAAGTATTGAATCATTTGACTGTGACGCTACCTAAAAAAAATTAAACGAGTCTTTGTATTTTGGGTGTGTTGGAGATGGTCTAAGCGCCTCCCCTCCGCAGCTGGCGGCCGAACCACTGCCGCCGCCATGCTGCGCCTTCGAAATCGCCTCTTCCCTCTGCTCTGCCACCCCGCTACTCTCCCCCATCCTCCGCCACGCGTGCCGCCTCCTCTCCACCTCCACCTCCGCCTCCACCGCCATCCTACCCGCGCTCTTCTCCTTCGAGGACTACCTCGTCGCGTCCTGCGGCCTTGCCCCAGCCCAAGCCCGCGAGGTGTCCAAGAAGGCGTCCCACGAGTTATCATACGGATCCAGGAGATCACTGGACGAGCTCTCCTACTCCCGCCTCTACTCCGCCTCCAACCCTGATGCTATCCTCACCCTGCTTTCCGGCGCCGGCCTCTCCCGCGCCGACATCACCGCCGTCGTCTCCGCGTACCCGCTCCTCCTCCGCGCTTCCGTGAAGAACATCGCCCCCCGCCTTGTTGCTCTCCGCGACCGGGTCGGTCTGTCTACTTCCCAGATCGCTCGCTTCCTCGTGGTCGTCTCACGCCCTCTCCGCGAGGGCGACGTCACCCCCAAGCTCGAGTTCTTCATCTCCTTCTACGGCTCGTTTGATCGGGTACTGTTGGCCGCAAAGAGGAACTGGGGCCTTCTATCGGCGAACCTTGAGAGGGTCATCAAGCCCAACATAGCTTTGTTTCGTCGGTGGGGTGTTCGAGATTTTGCTAAGCTGTGTTCAAACTACCCGTGGGTGCTTACCTTCAAACCGGAACACGTGAAGGAGGTTTTGCTGCGGGCAGAAGAACTCGGGGTGCCTACCACTTCTCCAATGTTTAGGCACGCGGTGGCTACCGTCGCCTCTACGTCCAAAGACAAGGTTGCCGCCAAGCTTGACTTCTATAAGAGGACTCTTGGTGGTTCTCAGTCTGAGGTTTCTATTGCAGTGTCCAAGATGCCAGCTATATTAGGATTCTATGATGAAATTCTTCTTCGCAAGATTAACTTCCTGGTCAATGAGGCTGCAATGGAGCCACGACACATTGTTGAAAGGCCTGTCCTGTTGGCATTGAGCCTGGAGAAGCGGCTAGTGCCGAGGCATTATGTCATGAAGGTTCTGCAGAAAAAGGGATTGCTGAATAGAAATATGAGGTTTTCCCCATTAGCTGTAATTGGAGAGGAGACTTTCGAATCGAAGTTCATCGACTGTCACATGGACTCTGTTCCTGGCCTTGCAGATGCTTATGCTGCAGCTCGTGCTGGTATTATACCCTCTAGAGTGTAATTTAAGCATCTCATTCTATGGTTTAGGTGGATGCTGGAACAGCAACTCATGCTCATTAGCGGCTGTCCACCGTGCAGGCTTTCTCAGTTCTGATATCTGCAATATAACCACTAGTGATCACTGACCAGTCATATTCCAAGGTTAATTTATGGTTATTTAGGAAGGAGCTATGTTTGACTTATTCTTGATATTTAATGCACATTTTGTTGGTTTCATCTTCTGCCTAGCACATGGCTGAAGATTATCCTTAACTTTGTTTTCTACTGTGAAAAGTATTTGTAAGGGAATGGGATACTAACAGCTGAAAAGAAATTCCAAGTTCTATGGGTGACGGCTTCATAGCGGAGAGTAGTTATTATCATATAGTTTTGTTTTCCACAGAATATACATAGCAAGAATATAACCCTTTTATACTGCCATCTTCATTTGTCTGCCTGTGATTGAGGCATTTGATCTCATATATAGAGAATGTGCCTCTTTTGTCCAAGGTTAAGTTATGGCATCTTGACTTGTTACTACCATTTTCTTCACTTTTGTGATTTTAAGTAGGTGTTTCTCTCGAAATATTTCTATTTTTATGCCTGTGCGTGATAGTAGCAGGAGTTTATTACTAAGCCAGATCCTGAGCCAATCTAACCATCGATGCCCTCTGTTTTGAGCTGCTGCTGAAATTCCAGATCTCTGGGGATATTGTGTGATCGATTGCCAAATTAGACCTGCTGGCCTGGATGCTGTGGTTGCTTTGGAAGTGTTGCCCATCCGACCAATCTGAACCATGTCATGTGCACTGCTAATTAGTTGCCTCCGTTTATGTATGTTGGTTCTGAACTTCAGTGTCATGTCGACTTGAAAACTTGCATGAGTTACAACTGGCAATGCGAGAGCTGCAAAATGCATTGTGGTCCATCATGATTTGTGAACGGGTGAGTGGCAACTCAACCAAACAAGACTCGTCACATCTATTAAAACAGCTTATCGCCATTTGTCATGGCTGAGAAGTATTTAAATCTTGCAAAACCCTACCATTCATCTCTTGTCTCATTGCTGCGCAGCAAGAGAAGGGTGATGGCGAAGGACACCCCCCCCCCTTCCCCTCTACTGGAACGACCTGTTGAAGTGGAGCCTTGCCGACAGCAACGGCACCAACCCGCTGCACGCTCTCAGGTCTGCTCCTGTCACATTCAGATCCCCTGCTTCCTCCCTCTGCTTTTGTCCTGTGTCAAAACCTTAATGACTCCTCCATGTTCGTCATTTCATATGCTTAGGTTTTGCTGTATTAATCTGCAACATTTCTCCTGTCCATTTGTACTCGTTTTGTTGGAAAACAAAAACCCTGTAGACCTTAGGGTCCAGACTAAATATGCTCAATTTTTGTTGTCTTACTGTGTGTTTGAAAGCAGACAGGTGACGAGATTTAACTTCCTTTCTCTAATTCGTGTGGCTAGTAGGTTTAGCGTCTCATAATAAAATTACTGTACTTAATTTTAGAGAAGTGGATCAAACGTTTGTGTTCTTAATTTAATTTTTTTTGGTTCTGTAGCAAGGAAGACAAATAAATGTTTTATGGAGGCCATGCAAGCTAACGCAATGATGTTGTGAAGAGGATGAAGGATATCACTCTGGTTATGAAAAGTCAATAAGATGTCTTGCAGTCTCAGGGTGTGACCCTTGAGAACATTGAAGGTATTGTTTGGGCATTCCGATACTTCCTCAGTCGATTGCTATTCAAGTTGATTTGTTCAGTAATTGGTAAAGATTATTGACACTTCTAATCTGACTGAGGATGTAAGGGTATTTAACGCATTGGCATGCATGCAACTTTTAGTTTGTGTAGCATGGTATGGTAGGATCATAGCTTGATGTGCTAACACAATAAACAAATAAACTATATGATTGTAATGGTCTAGGCTGTTTATTGATCCGCCAAACGATTTTTGTAGGATGCAAATATAGCAGTGGAGGCACTTAGCAGTTATATAGTTCGTTTGCAAAAGGAATTCGTAGCTGATGGTCATATGAGAGATTCATTATTGAGGGTGTTCATGTGTTGTGTTGTTGTCACTTGCCTGCTAGTTAACCAAAGCTTCCAATGTTATTTTTGTCGTGTAATCATGTATCCTCCTTATCCTCCTTAGAATTTGACTTGATGGACATATATATTTGTCACCCTTAAGTTCTAGGGGCTGTTGGCTCCGGAATAACGATTTACTTGATCTGTTCAGGTATATTGGTTGTGCTACAAGAGCATGTTGAATCCATTGACATGGCAAATGGTATGATTCATAGTTGTAATTAAGACTTCCTTGTAAATGCTTATTCTGATGGCTATTGTGAACCTAATACATATGCAATTATTCAAACAGATCTACATTGTACTTGGTTACTTGAAAAATTCAAATGCTTGCATCCGAGCAAAGGCGGCATAAGTTGCGAGTACAATTGTGCACTGTTATCCGAAGAGACAGCAACCTGCCATGGAATTTAATGGACTGGAGCCACTGCTGACAAACTTCATATAAGATCCAAGTACCAATGCACAGCTTTAGGAGCCATGTCCTGTATGTATCACTCAGTATCATGCAGAGTATAATCCTTTGGAGGAACTTTACAGTTAATTTTCACACGGTAGCTTCTGTTGCTCATGCTAACAAAAACTTTATACAATTGTTTGCAGCTCTTTTTCGTCATAATCAGCCTGGAGTTTCTACATTCCATGTGGGAAATGGCTACGCTGGATCGAAGGATGCTCTTGGTTCCTATGATGCCGGACTTAAGTGTTATTTCGTATGATAACAGTACTCTCAGAATTCTGTAAGACATGTTTACAATTGGGTTATTTATCTTAAACCAGGTGTCATAGACAGTAGATTTGGGGTAAATGGAGTGATCTGGATGGGGCTCTGGTTACCGAAATTATGCCTAGAATCCTAATGGACCCTGTGAACAAGTGTCTGCATACCAACAGAGCTATACTATCACATTGGGATAGTTCATGTGATATTGAAATTTCTGTGCTAATGGTAGTGTTGGTTTGAAGGTCATTTTATTTAGCTGTAGTACTCTATTTTGCTGAACTTCAACCTAATTGTATTGCCTGAAACTTTTTCTGCTGGCAGAATTACTCAGCTGCAATGTGAATGACATAACTTTGTTGTATCGTTTCAGGAAAGCTCTGAATCTCATACCTGCTGCACAGCAACATGGCAGACAGGAGTGTTGCTACAGATCTTGATCTTCCAAAGCTGATTATTGACCTCGTTTCCAGTGTGCAAGGAGCTGCGCTAAGCGGTCTCCATGAGTTGGTACAGCACAAGACATCTGGTAACGCTCTACGTGTCCAACACAAGCTGAAAAAGGTCCTCTAGAACCAAAGGGATCAGCGCGATGGACACTGACAATCTCCATGCTGCTCGCGAGGAGCTGCATGTGGTCGACTCGCTCTGGAAGAAGTGCTAGAACGAGCTGTCGCCCCCTCAGGGAGAAGGGCATCGCCGTGCTTCCTGCCTTGCTGGAGAGGACACGGCCAAACAGCTGCCACCAGATGTCACAGGGAAGATGTTTGAGTTGCAGCTTTGTGCATGTGCAGAAAGATGATTCTGATTCTTATAGTGGGAAGAAGGATTCTGATTGTTATAGTGGGAAGAGGATCCACCATTGTTGCCTGGTGTCGGGCTGTTGTCAAACCCCAATTCCGATTCTTTAGCTTAGTGATGGCCTGATGGCTGTGGAAGGCTGAAAGAGGCCTGATGGGTGTTTGGCCTTTTGTCCCGTGCAAATTCTACGTCATCATATACCCACCTGTACTCGTGTTCTGAATTCTGATGATATGTTTGCATTTTAGTTGAGTTTGCTTTGTGGGGGGATGATAGATATCTGTCTCTCTGATTCTCGTATTTGGCCCAACTTGAGAATTCTCTTGCACGAGTGTCTGATGCTTTATAACTGATTGATTATCTGATCCGGCTATTAGTTTCACAGTGTGCGTCTGCTACAGTACAAAAGACATGAACAAGAGCTGCTTATCAGCAATTTATTACTACTACTATACTGGCACCGGCAGAAGGCTGCCTCACTTGGAGATTAGAGATCAGAAACATTGACGAAAGCAATTAATATATAATAAAGCTCGTTAGCTCTGAGTAACCCTACTTAGATTTTGATTACGCAGTGGCCCAGTTCGTCCCACCCAAGTCATCAGCACGTTTGGTGGCCCAGTAAGCGGACAATACGGCCTTCTCCCAGCCCAGTTGGGCAGCTCCGCCTCTGTCCCTTGTCGCCCGCATCGCCGCTCGCCGGGCAGCCTGACGCCGTGACGCGCATAGGCATAGCCCGACGGCCCCTCCGCAGCTGGCGGCCGATCCTGCGCCGCCGCCATGCTGCGCCTTCGAAATAGCCTCTTCCCTCTGCTCCGCGCCGCCTCCCCACTACCCTCCCCCATCCACCGCCGCGCGTGCCGCCTCCTGTCCAACTCCACCTCCACCGCCATCACCCCCGCGCCCTTCTCCCTCGAGGACTACCTCGTCGCGTCCTGCGGCCTCGACCCAGCCCAAGCCCGCGAGGTGTCCAAGAAGGCGTTCCACGAGTTATCCAGAGCAGGCAGGAGACCATCGGATGAGCTCTCCTCCTCCCGCATCAACTCCGCCTCCAACCCCGATGCTATCCTCGCCCTGCTCTCCGGCGCCGGCCTCTCCCGCGACGACATCGCAGCCGTCGTCTCCGCGGACCCGCTGATCCTCCGCGCCTCCGTGAAGAACATCGCCCCCCGCCTCCTTGCTCTCCAAGACCGGCTCGGTCTGTCCACTCCCCAGATCGCTCGCTTCCTCCTGGTCGGCTCACGAGGTCTCCGCGACTGCGACGTCATTCCCAGGCTCGAGTTCTTCATCTCCTTCTATGGCTCGTTTGAGCAGGTGCTGGTGGCCGTAAAGAGGTGCATGACCCTCCTCACTGCGAGCCCTGAGAGGTTAATCAAGCCTAACATCGCTTTGTTACGTCAGTGGGGTGTTCAAAATATTGTTCAGCTTTGCACAGACAACGCGTGGGTGCTTACCTTCAAGCCCGAGCGCGTGAAGGAGTTCTTGCTGCGGGCAGAAGAACTTGGGGTGCCTCCTACCTCGCGGATGTTCAGGCATGCAGTGGCCACCATCTCCCGTAATTCCAAGGACAGGGTTGCCGCCAAGCTTGAGTTCTATAAGAGGATTCTTGGTGTTTCTGAATCTGAGGTTTCCACTGCAGTGTCCAAGATGCCAAATATACTAGGATTCTCTGACGAAATTCTTCTTCGCAAGATTAAGTTCCTGGTCAATGAGGCTGCAATGGAGCCACGATACATTGTTGAAAGGCCTGTCATGTTCGCATTGAGCCTGGAGAAGCGGCTAGTGCCCAGGCATTATATCATGAAGGTCCTGCAGGAAAAGGGACTGTTGGATAGCAATATGAGCTTTTACTCAGTAGTTGCTCTTGGAGAGGATACTTTCAAATCGAAGTTCATCGACCGTCACAAGGACTCAGTTCCTGGCCTTGCAGATACTTATGCTGCAGCTCGTGCTGGCATTGTACCGTCTAGAATCTAATTTTAGCATCTCATTTTGTGTTTTGGGTGAATGGTGGAACTGCAATTCATGCTCATTAGTGGCGGTTTCTGATTTTTCTGCAATAGAAACACTAGTGATCCGTGAGTGCTCATAGTCCACGTTTAAGTCAAGACTATTTATTAAGGAGCTGTGTTTGGCTTATTCTGGATCCTTAATGCACATTTTGTTGGTTTCATCTTCTGCCTAGCACATGACTGAAGAATACCCTTAACTTTACTTTTTCTTCCATGAATAAGTCTTTATTATTGTAGAATTTAATGATATTTGGAATTTGCCCGTATTAGCTTATAACCATTTTTTTATCAGCGTGTTCTATCGCAACTGATGTTTTGCATGGCTCTCACAAGCCCTTTTTTTTTTGTTTCTACTGATGCTTAAATTGTAGTACTTCGTTGAAGCTGAACTACTAGTTTCAGGTAGTGGCCTAAAATGCTACCGAGAAACAAGCTATATAAAACAATTTTAAAAGCCGGTGTTGTTAAGGGCCAACGATGTATTCTTGATTCTGCCCATGTGTCAATGTGTGAAACATGGTTGCCTGTTTGGCCTGTAAGCTGGGAATGAGATACCAACAGCTCCTTTTGTTTCGAGCTGCATCTTAAACTCCGGATGTCTGGAGAACTCTTTTGTTGATGGCTGTGTGATTGATTGCCAAATTAAACCTGCTTTCCTGGCTGCTGTGGTTGCTTTGGAGGTGTTGCCTCAGGTTATGTATGTTGGGCATGGTGTCTGTGGCTCTGAAGAATCTGAACCGTGGGCATAGTATGCCATTGCCATCTGTATTGCATTGGTGTTGCATCAGGTTATGTACGCCGGACATGGTGTCTGTCGCTCTGAAGAATCTGAACCATGGGCGTGCTATTGCATTGCCATCTGTAGCGCTGGCTAGTTTAGTTTGTTGGGTATTTTCATTAAAAAAGATGGTCTAATCGTCTATGTCCCTAAAAAGTTCGATCTATCGCCAGTGTCCAAGCTCGAAAAACTTTTCTCTCTCACGCCATTCTGTCTATTTGCAGCACTAACAGCGTAAAATGTGGGTGGCAAAGGACTTGAATGCCTCTGGAACTTTTGTTTCTCATGTGCCACTGCCTGGGCGGCAATCTGATGGCTCTTGAACCGGGAAGGGGCCAAGAGGGCAGCGGGCACCTGCCTTTGCCGTCCGGCGGTCTAGCCGTCCAGGCGTCACGACTCCCGAGAGCCGCTGCCTCTATATAAGCGCCACCACCGCGGCACCACACCCCCAACGGCCCTTGCGTTTCAGATGCCGCAACGAAATCCAAGCGCTATCCAGCTCGGCGCCTCCTGCTCGTCCACCGCCATGGATCCGACCAGGCAGGGCCGCGACCCCTCCGGCCGCAGCGCCTACTACAACCCAGCGCAGTTTCCTAACCTCCCCTCCTCCTCGTGGTGACAGCCGCGACAGCCTCTGCTTCTAGAGCAGGCCACGCCGCCGCTGCAGATGAACCCGCGGCCGCATCAGGGTGGCGACGTCGGGGACCAGAGCTCCACGCGCGTCGGCATCCCTACCGACGGCAACATCTCGAGCTACGACGCGCTCCTCAACTTCCCCATGCCCGGCACCCAAACCTCGGTGCCGCACCGGCCGTCGACGTCGAACTTCATCAGCAGCCAGAGGCAGTACCTGCCTCAGCATGGCTCCGCCGCTCTCTTCTCCGCGCTCGGGTACGACGGCGTCTTCAACCCGCACGCCTCCGTCTATCGTCCCTGGGCGGCAGCGGCAGTCTACGCTCGGCCCACCGCCGCCCCCGGCTTCGCCGCGCGAGGCGGCAACTCCACCAGCAACGACCCGAACACCTCCGCCGGTGTGATCGGTGCGCGTCGGGGCCCAGTGGCTGGCGCTTCAAACCGTCAGGCGCTTCAGGATGTCGAGACGAACCCGGCCCTTGCGACGAACCCGACGAGCTCGGATTGGTTGGCCTTCCTGCTCGATCAAAACAACGGCGAGCTCAGAGCTCATCTGTGTGTGTTTGCTTTGCTGTTGTTTTGCTTTTGCACGGTGCAGGGAGACAGCTCTGAGGGTGCTCGTCAGGGTGGCAGCGCGGAACTTCCCCGAAGTACTGCAGCAGCTATTCAGGTGCCTAACGAGGGATGGATGATGGAACAGAGCAAGGGCCCGGAACTGCCTGAGCATTTCTTCGCCATGTTGCCTTACAGCTGTTACTCGGTATGTAATGTAGCTACCCACAACAGCCCTGGAGGACGACATACGTATTGCTACTAATGGCGTTTTTCTGATGAACTTCCGTTTAGATTTTCACCCGTGAGCTCGCCGTCCCCCGCTTCCGCGACATGGCCACGTCCTATTTCGGGGGGATGAGCGTGATGCTATGCCTGGAGAACGCAACGAAGCATGAGCTCGGCATTGATCTCGAGGACACCATCTTGACCCATGCCATTGAGATCTCCAAGAAACAATACGGGTGAGAGCTAAGCATATACCATTACAACATGAGTTCATTCACTGTGTGGTTCTTCTCGATTGTCACTCCTAACGTTCGTTCTCAATCTGGAGAAACTAACGGGCGGGCCGGGAAACCTCCTTCCGGCCGACATTCGCATGCCGCAGCAGCGTCTTCTTGCAGGAACTCTTCAAGAGAGGCCACCACGATCAGCTCGAGGACCGCATCAGGGCGCTCATCGTGGACGATCTCGTGGCGTGGTCCACGGACACATACGGGCACTTCGTGGTACAGGCGTGCTTTCGCCCCCGCGCTAGTCCGTCTCTGGTGCCTCCGTTGCAGCGCGGGCTCGAAGCGTTCTTGCGCCTGCCCGCCGAGCGGCTCCGAGAGTTGGTGATGGACTGCAATGCCTACCACGTCCTCGGCTCGCTGCTCCAAACCAGCGTAGACGTAAGTATTCGCCTATCCTTCCTGTCACGCCAACAGTGGGCCCGCGCCGGCCGGCCGCTCGGTCGTTCGTTAGCTGAGACTGGCGTTTTATCTGTGCGGAACGTGCCATGCAGCACGGAGCGACGCCGGCGGAGGCGATGCAGCTTGCAGAGCGGATCTTGGGGATGCCGTGGACGAGACGGATGCTGAACTCCGTCGTCCGGTGGGTGATCGACAAGAGCAAGCCGTAGCTATTTTGCACTAGTAGTCGATGATTTGCTCCGCTGAGTCAGAGTGCGCCACCATGCCTTAGACTGTACTCCGACTGCGAATTGTGTGTTTGACTTTGATTGATTGGCATTGCTTGCTGACGTACACGGCCAAATGTCTCTGGTTTCTCTGTACAATGCTATGGGTAACTACTGTACATCTCTAAACATTTCGTATAGTTTAGGCTTGTGTAGTACGTACTACTACTACTCCGTAGCCAGCATCTCTGTTTGTATCCATCCGCTAATGTTGTGTCAGATTAAAAGTCGTTGCAATTTGTGCATGCATGTACTGGTACCGTAAAGGTTCACCGCTCAAGCTCAGACAATTTACCACACAGATGGCTCCCAGCAGGCAGTGGCACATGAGAAACAAAAGTTTCAGGGGCATTGAAGTCCTTTGCCATCCATATTTCACAATGTTAGTGCTGCAAATAGACAGAATGACGTGAGAGATAAAAGTTTTTCGAGCTTGGACACTGACGATAGATCGAACTTTTTAGGGACATAGACGATTAGACCATCTTTTTTAATGGCATACAAGTAAAAGACCCTAGTTTGTTTTGTTGCCTGATCGATCAGTGCGACTGACGGAATCCTGCGTAATTGAAGATTACCATCTGATAAGCGCAGTTTCATACTGATGGAAGTCTGCATAGTTGAAGATTACTATCTGATAAGTGCAATTGCGTGATCGATCGATCGAGTGTGACTGACGGAAGCCTGCATAATTGAAGTTTACTATCTGATTAGTGCAATTGCATACTGATGGAAGTCTCCATAATTGAGGAATACTATATCTGATAAGTGCAATTGCATTTGAATCAGTCAATGTAAGGTTTACGCTGCGTGCGAGGGGTGATGGAAGGCACAGGGCAGCAAGGAGGGCAATCGGTCCCAGGATGGATGGTTTCTCTATCTGCTCCTAGATACGTTTGGAGGTACTCTTTCGCCCCAACTTTTGTTTTGCTGTGAAAAGAGTGGAGGTATATATACGTTTGGATATTGGAAATCCCAATGGATATTGGATTCGGATAGAGCGGCATCTACGGGGAGAGAGAGAGAGAGAGAGAGAGCAGTGATAAAATAATCTGTGGACTGTGGATGGCAAGTAGAAAATGGGAGGAAAAATACTCAAATATCTGGCCGTTGACTCTTAGGGCAAGTTAATAAAAAGCGAAAGTTAATAAAAAGCGAAAAGGAACAAAGGGGACGATTTTCTTTCTTTTGTAAGAAAATGTATAAAAAGGATTTTCATTTTACTTCGTATATAAGCAGAGTACTGATACGGGGCAGAATAGACCCCATTCATGGAAGTTTTTGAAGGGTTAAAAGGCTGAAACTTTTGTGAGTTCCAGACTCCTTGTTCGTGCGAGATGTGGATAGGTTAAAAATTGGGACAAATCAAAAAGTATGCAAGCAGGAATCCTTAGGTTGAGCCTAGCCCTTTTTTGGGAATAGAATGCGAAGAAAATGGACTAAAATCCCATCTAAATCTCAGAATTTGGTGTCGTAAAAAACTCGACGAGACGTGGATAGTTTTTTTTGAAGAATTGGATAGGTTAAATCGGGACAAATAAAAAAATATGCATGCAAGAATCCATCTAAATATCAGAATTTTGTACCGTAAAAAACTTGACCTGCGTGAATGAGAGCCCCTGGATGTTGCATCAAGAAGAAAACCTTCTGCATGAAATTCCTAGAACCCCCGCCCCACTTTTTTTAACCCCAATCTGAAATTCGCTTTCACGAGAAGTCGAACTCATGACCTGAGAAGTGCTACTCAGACCACCTAACCAACTTAGTTAGTGCCCCTTTCGCAGAATTTAGTGCCGTAATAGAGAGAGATTGCAGATTGGTG